AGCTTTGGAATGCAATGTGAAACCTTAAGAAATCTGAAATGGTTTTAAAATGTTTGTTTCAACAAGCTTCTCATCTCTATCACCAAAAGCCAACCAAGAATTTTCAAAACACAGGATTTGAGGTTAAGGGGGATGTTTCAGCAAAAATTAAGGATTAAAAATCCCATTCTAATTAGAATTCCTCTCCAGGATGGTTATATTTTAGAATTACTGTACATAAATGAATTAGCAGTGGAAGAGGTATAGATTCTGCTAGAGAAACTTCCAGTAAGCTATTAGATTTCATGTTCTTATTTCTGAATCCATTAAATTATTTTTTATAGCTGGTTTGTTAGGAATACCTATTGTAAAAGATAGAGAAAAGAATTGTTTAAAAAAAAAAAAAGGTTAAAATCATCCACAAACTTTCCAAAATAAGTTTTCATACTCTTTGATATAGCTCCTTCCAATCTTATCCCTTGATGTTTGTGTGTATGTGGAATTTTATGTCCTGTTTGTCTAGAGTTCACTCACACTGAAGTGTGAAGGAAACCAAACTAGGCATTTGACAGATTTTTTTTTTTAATCATTTAAAACTTACGCTGCATAAAAAAATGTGATGTTATTTTAACAGTTCCCCTATCACTGGACATTTACACCGTTCCAAACTTATTTTTATTTTATTCTCTTGAGACAAGAGTCTCACTTTATTGTCCTGGCTAGAGTGCAATGGCGTCATCATAGCTCACTGCAACCTCGAAGTCCTGGGCTCAAGTGATCCTCCTGACTCAGCCTCCCAAGTAGCTGGCACTGCAGGCATGCACTACCACGCCTGATTAATTTTTCTATTTTTTCTTGTAGAGATGGGATCTTGCTCTTGCTCAGGCTAGTCTCAAACTCCTGGCCTCAAGCAATCCTCCTGCCTAGGTCTCTCAGAGTGCTAGGATTACAGGCATTAGCCACTGCACCTGGCCTGTTCCCAATTTTTAATTTCCTCAAACCACATTGAAGCAAACATATTTCTACAATCTATCTCCTTAAACATTAATAAATAAAAATTTTCAGATCAAAGGATATGCAAAATTTAGGATTTTTCAATCATACTGCAATCTATTTTCAAAAAAAAATTGCACAAATTTATATTCCAACCACTGGGCTATAAACTCTACTCCTAGTACCTAGTAACCTTGCCCTTTCTGTGTGTGTGTGTGTGTGTGTATTCAAAGCAAAAACCACAACTGCTCATTTGCTAGGTGCAGAATGGTTACTGGTATAGCATTTTAACAAATATCATCTCAGGATCCAAGTTAATCCAAAACCTTGGGAAAAAGAAATTAGGGAATCTTTGTTCCTTTTTTTAAAGTTCTGCGACTCAGGTTAAAGATTAGTAAATGATTCTAAGCTGCTTCGTAAGTTAACAAGCTTACTTGTTCAATCAACAAATATATATCACATGTCTTCTACATGCTAGCACTGGGGATACAGTGGCCACTATTTTTTTACCCTGTCATCTTAAACATGTCTTGATTCACATTTTCCCCCTGTAGTTAGAGCTATTAAGATCAGTAATATGTATTAATATTTAAGAAATTGACCTAGTTTTAATAGGTAACACCTTTTCATGGTTCAAAATTTAAAAGGTAATGGTGGTTGTACAGCGAAGTTTACTTCCCACTGTAGTTCCCCAGTCACTCAGTCCCCTCCGTGGAGGTAAATGATGTTATCAAATTCTCGGGCTTCCTTACAGTTATTTTATGCATATGTAAGCCAATATATCTATCCTCCCGCTACACTCTTTTTACCTCAACAGTGTACTATAAACACTTAACTATACCTTAATGGCTACTTTACACTGTCTAAACAGCAAAATGATGAGACACCACTCCAAGTAAGTAGCCAATGGATTAATGGCAAAGTCCGTAAGATGGGACCGATTTGGCCTGTTGGAGAAAGAAAAGGCAGCTAGTATGGTTGATGCTGGAGACAGACAAGGGCAGATAATGTAAGACCTTGAAAATCCTTGGAAGGCTTTTAAGCTGAGGAATATGATTTTTAACAGATCATTCAGACCACAGTATGAAGAATGGATGAGGGAGTAAATGATGAAAACATGTTGTCCAAGAGATGGTTGTGGTTTGGAATGCTGGCAACAATGAAAGCCACAAGGCCAGACAGAGGATATACTGCACTTTGGAGGCAGGGCCAACAGGACTTGCTGAATGAAGAGACGATGGAAATTAACGGAAGGGGCACTATCTCAAGATGATTCCTAGGCTTTTGGCTTGAATAGTTAAGTTTTGAGGCACTTAAATCTAAAGGTATTTTATTAAATATTTTTATTAATATTAATAATTTAACTGAAGATATAAGGCATCCAAATAAAGACATCAAGTTGGTAGTTAAATATATAAACTAGAGTCCAACAGGCCAAGATTAGACCTACAAATTTAGGTTAGTGGCATGCAAATTGTTAGATTACTTAGGGAGCTTAGAGAAGATAGCCTAGATTCCAGTTCTAGAGCTCTCTATTACATTTGGGAAGTCAAGCAAAGGAGACTGAGAAGGACCAGCCAGTGATATAGGAGGAAAACCAAGAGGTGCTAACTAAGAAGCACAAAACTGTTTTTTCAATGACCATTACTTAGTCAAGTGGGTTGAATACTGCTGAGAGGAAGACAGAGAAGTGACTGTGATCTGGCAATATAAAGAACAATTGGTCTCTTTAACAAAAGTACTTTTTGTGGAGTAATAGGGGCAGAAGCCCTACTGGAATACATAGAGAACTAGAAGAAGAAGACAAGCTACACACAACTTTTTCACAAAGTTTAGCTCTGAAGTAGAACGAGAGGATCAAGTGGGGTCAAGACAGTTGTTACTATGTAGAAGAACACATCCACCCATATTCTGATGTTAGACTGAGAAATGCTGGTGAATATATCAACTTATGATATCCTGGTAACAAGTAATTTGGTGCCTTTATTCCAATTCATCATACATGAAATTATGCTTAACAACTTCTGGAACCCTCCTCAATTTGGTTTACCAGGAAAATATTATCATGAAGCTCTCCAACTCTATCATCAACTTTCTGGAGCAAGATAAACAGTCATGCACCACATAATGACCTTTAAGGTCAACAATGGACCCATATATGACAGTGGTCCAATGAGATGATAACAGATTTTTACTGTACCTTTTCTGTATTTAGATGTTTAGATACACAAATGCTTACCATTGTGTTACAATTGCCTACAGCATGCTGTACGGTAACATGCTGTATAGGTTCTTGTTAAGTACACACTATGATGCTTGCACAACATAATCATCTAAAAGGCATTTCTCAGAACGCAGAAATGTCATTAAGTGATGGATGATTGCACAACACCTCAGCCCTATTCAATTTTCCCTTCTCCCTTTGTAATGGGTTACACTACATGCACTATTTTTACACTAACTAGAAATGAGATATAATGAAGGAAATAAAAATAAAATTTTAACAGCCATTTTAACTGGTAAAGTAGCATTTTGGCATGTTTCCATCATTTGCTGGATACCTTCATACAGCAATAATACCCTAATAAATTTAAGGAAAAAATACCCGAGGGCAATGGTGAATCTGAACGTGGCGAAGGAGACCACAGATGGACTTTCTGCTTGAGATTTCAAGAATTTTGAATACTGGCTTAGATGTGGAAACTTTGTCAATTTGTGTAAAGCTCTGTGAACAAGGAACTAACCCAGAAGCATTATCATCAGTTATTAGAGAGCTTCACAAGACTACTGAAATACTAAAGGCTGCTGAAAGTATGACAAGTTTTCTGGAGAAATCCTAATGAGATATATCAAGCTGTGCAAGAGGATTTGAAAATTGCCTTGTAGTCAAGAATGTACAAAGAAATTATTGCATGCAGCAGTGTAGAAAAATTTTCTTTTAAATGAATTATAAAACTGTAGCTTTATAAATCAGTAGATAGCTTACAGAGAGAACAATTGGTTGTGTTTACATTGCATCTTACTTAACAGCCCTAATACTCTGACATTGCTATGTTCATAATTATATATTCCTTACTTATAGCTCAGATAACTTTAGTTTTCTCAGCAGTCTATCAGTTATGCACATCTGCTGTGCCTGGTACAGCAGAAGCCATCAGTAGTGATATGTTGTAGTTATGACTTACTGACATTTCCATTTTAAACTTTAATTTTGAATTGCTTACGCATAATAACTAGATTTGTTGTATTGGGCTGAAAGTTGACAGGATTTCAGCCACCATTGTGAATTTTGATTTAGGTTAATTATGTATATCAGAATCTTGTTTTTTAAAGAGCATGAAAAATTTCTTGTAATGAGCTTTAACAAAAAAGTTTTTTTAAAGTTTGCCAGGCAGTTAATAGCATGAACCAGATCACTTTTGTATCAATTGAAAAATAAAAAGTTTTAGAAACTTACATTTTAATTGTAATGACTGTGCTTAGCTATTACTTGTAGTTTGAATCATTTAAATGTGAGGAGAATACTAGTTGAGAATGTTTTTCTAAGTTTTATATCCTATAAATGAGGGCTTAAAAATAATGTATAAAATGAAACATAGCCAATGTGCAAAATTCCTGTATACTTTTATTATATACAAGTAATTTGAGTATATACAAGTAATAAATCTTGAGTGGTTATGTTTCAACAGCTATTCGACACTTTCTGAAGAAGTTCCAGTCATTAAAAACGATATAATCAAATGTTCTGTATTAAGAATTATTAAGTATGGGCCGGGTGTGGTGGCTCGCGCCTGTAATCCTAGCACTCTGGGAGGCCGAGGTGGGTGGACTGCTCAAGGTCAGGAGTTTGAGACCAGCCTGAGCAAGAGCGAGACCCCGTCTCTACTAAAAAATAGAAAGAAAT